TATATTTCTCTTTTTCAAATCTAGATTTGAATTTTCCACTGTGTCAGTCAGATGGCCAGAGCAGGTGCGTTTCCGTTGAAACAAGCCTGTGAGTTGACTAAAAGTTGCATTCAGGTTTTCATATTTCAGGCAGCCTGTGAAAATGACCCCCACCCACCCACTCCCCTTCCCGCTCCCCTGACCCCCATGCTGTGCAGGGTTAGGGCTGTACACTTATTTGATGCTGACATCACCATGTTGAAGATTTTATGTTTAGAAAATAAGTAAAATTTGAAATTTCATATATGCTAATCAAATTAATCTCTTTAGTCATGAAAATATGCAGTGAAAGGGTTGTTGGACATTTACTATTTTTACACATTACACATTTTTATTCTGGTAGTAAATTCCAAGGTTAACCATCACCAAGCTCTTGCCAGGCACCCATAGCCCTTACAGCCTTGTCACTCACTGGCAGATAACATCTACACTGCTGAGGGTTTTTTGGAGGTTTGCACCCCGGCCTTTAAATGCATGAACTGCATGCACATAGGATCTTTAAAAAGTAACATTGTAATGCATAAAACCTTATTGAAGTGTTTTGCATCACTTATTAGGTGTGTATATCACCAGTATCTGCAATGCTGACAAATTATATTGAAGATTTACCTGTATATGGATTTTGTGAAGGTATATAATGGCTGCAGTTAACCAAGTATTGGTAACACTTGTGCCCTGTGATACTCCCTAGGTGTACATTATGTACATAGGCAAGGAATGTAGACAGAGTATTTATCTGAGTGTATATAAGTCAAATCCGTTGTACATTCTGTGCATATCTGGTGACACAGATCTTTTCAAGTGCTATTGAATATAGTGGAAAATAGTAATATAATTTGAGTTGATTTTGTGAGTTGTTTTTTTTCTTTCTGCATATCCCTGTTTGTTAAAGTTGTGATGTTTCTTGCATGTTTTCATACCTTTTATTTTGTCAGTATAAATGTGTATTGATCATGGAAAATTGTAGATCGAGATCAGTTACTACCTAGCATGTTTGTTTCATGGCATGGTGTGGTTATCACAATGTGTAAGAACTGGAAATGTCAGCTTGAGAACTGTCAGAACTTTAAAACATTAACAGATGAAATATCAGTGAAGTAAATAGCTGTACAAGCATGGTTGTTGATTGTTTGTTTTTGTGATTGAACAGCGATGACTATGTAATGACTGCAAATGGTTGAATCACTTATCACTTTATTGTTGTATGTTGCTGGCCTACACTGGCCTATCATTTCATGAACACATCATAGAGAAAGTACACACAGACAGACACACATACCTTGATACCAAATACACAGAACTGTTTCCACAAAGATATGAGCACACACAAAGAGGAAGGTTCCCACCCAAATCATAAACACACACATGAAGGCAGATACCTGCACATAAACAAATGCACACACAGACAAAGGTACACACAGATAGATGAAGGCACTTAGCCACACATAAACAAATCCACACAGAGAAAGGTACACACAAAAACAGATGACGGCACACAAAGGTACATACCCACACAAACAAGTGTGTGCGCGCGCATGCACACACACACACACAGAGATGAAAGCACAGACAAAGGTACACACACAGATGAAGGCACATACCCACACATAAACAAACACACAAAGGTACACACACAGACAAAGCACAAACACACAGATGAAGGTACACACACAGAGATGAAGGTACACACACACAGATTAAGGGACACAGACACCAGACACTGTTTAGTTGCTGACATACCATTTAATGCTGTTTCAAGTTGTGTTGTGTTATTTGGTATGCTTGATTTCTTGATCATTGAAACGAAGCCTGTACATTTTGAGCTGTGTCAATTCTCATAATCAAAATTTGAATACTAAATGCTTAACACCTGTGTCAGTGTTTCCATGATGTTCAGCTGTCATCACTCAAGTAATGCATGATATCCAAAGTATTGTCCTTTCCAGCAAGATGGTTCATCAAGTACAAGTTTGTCATGTTTTGTTATTGGATGCTCTCAGACTCAGAGACTGTATTCTGTTATCATTAATAATTTGAATGATATTATGTCCATGCAGAGTTCATCTGTGCCTTCCGTTTGAGTCGTGTATTGGTTGACTGTGAAACTAGTTGTCCTGTACGCTCTCTGTGCACTGTGCACTGTACATACTGCTCAACTATGTCTTTTGTAAAAGATTATCACATCCACCCATTGTCTGTGGTTTCTTTACAAGAAGTAGTCATAGCTTCAGCCACGGGATACTCCTGTGACTTGCTGGAGCATTCTTGACACCATTGAGTAAGTGAGTTTGGTTTTACGCCGCTTTTAGCAATATTCCAGCAATATCACGGCGGGGGACACCAGAATTGGGCTTCACACATAGTGCCCATGTGGGGAATCGAACCCGGGTCTTCAGCGTGATGAGCAAACGCCTTAACCACTAGGCTACCCCACCGCCCCTGACGCCATTGACCTACTTTAACCCAAGAGAGATGCCAAGGAATAACCCCTGCATGGAAAGAAGACAGATCAGCCATGATTCCATGACTAGATGTGATGGTATTAATATATGTGTACCCGATTTAGGCTGTTTCAGTGCTACTTTGAAACTCTGAACCCATATGGTTTGGCTGTTTGTGTATAAGATCAGGCGTTGCATTATGAGTTCACGACTTCAGCATACTGATGGCATTCATGTGTGTCTTAAAGAATATGGACTTATGATAATGAACTTACCTAGTACAAACTTGGAGAGCCTATGCAGGATAGGCATGGAAGGACAGCCATCTCTGCAAAGTCTGTGTAGGTTATGAAACAAGCCTGAGCATCTTGCCACTAGTTTATCATGAGTTGAGCCCAACAGTGATAGTCTGTATTCACAGACTTGTAAGCAGTCAGATGTTTATTTTCTTGTATTATGCCACTGATTGGAGTGGGTCAGAGCAGAGACCATATAATATAATAATCTATTATATGGTCTCTGGTCAGAGTGTCTCTCTGAAAGCAGAAAGTCCTTGGTATTGACTTGTCTGTGGGGACCTTGACCTTCCCGGTATCTGGGTGTGGTTGTCTTGAGTCCAGGAAGTTCAGAACTGACACTCGACAAAAGGTACATTGACACTATTGCTGCCAACCATTATTCTCCTCAGTCTCTAATTTGTTCAGGCAGATATGAGTATGTACAGGTGGCCACGGTGCTGCGACTGATGCGTAGAGTTGCGTCCCTTAGACATGCCAGAAACCTAAGACGGTGGAACACACATTGTTTCTTTGATTTGTTATTATGGTACTCATGCTTGTAGGTTCTCGTAAGTTTCACCACGTGGACTTTCCTTCCACATTAAAGTTGACATTAAATTATACAGTGGACATACTGTTCAAAACCATGTTAAACCAAACTTGCTCACTCGCCCTTCCCTGTATCTGGATGCTGACGTCCGTCTATAAAAGAAACTACTATCTTTTCCACAAGCCTGTGGTTGAAAGAATATTTCTTAAAAAGACCCATATGCACAGTTTATGACTGAAAATGTCTCTGTGACTATACAAAATGACTTGTCCTAAACGTCTACATGTAACTACCATTGATAAATGGCTACGGCGACATACAGTCAGTATGGCCAATCAGTCATGGCCACGTCATGTTATCATGCCCCATCTGTGTTCATAACATCAACCATCACTTTGGTTGACCGAGGGTTTTAGCTCATATATATATCTATCTATCTATCTATCTATCTATCTATCTATCTATCTATCTATCTATCCTAGAAAAGATTATTCCATTTAGTAAGTGACCTTTTTTCCCTATGGAAACTGGCACTGAATAACCTATATCATTCAAAAGATACGCACTATTTTTTTCAAATGGGTCAATGAATGTTGATGCAATTGCAGCATACACACCAGACCACAGGTTAGTAAAAAGCCTCAAATGGCAAAAAACAACAAACCATCAAACTCTTTCCAACATGGACATCAAAAACTTCAAAGAGCGTCATAAAGCTCTGCTAAAAAGTTGTTTGATCCGGGTTACAAGATTCAAGGCCTTGAACGACACAACGTTTCGTTGCGGACAATATCGATAATTTCAAGTTTGACTTATGTAATTCCCTGTTTTGACCTGTACCATAATTTCTCGTTATGTTTCAGACGAACAAATGGCATTTCTGTCGCACTGGATTTATGTACGCGTGTCGATGTATGGTTCCTTACACGCCAAATAGCTAGGGCAGCTTTTAGTGACAGTTGAAATAAATAGTTCCATTCAGAAATATGCAACTTATTCCTTTTCACCGCTATCGCCCATCCACCCATGCTACATGCACACATGCACGCACGCAACGCCCACTCCGCTCCTTCCCTTGCACCTGTCACCGCTTCTTACAATGCGAAACAGTTATTCATTCTACTGCTAAGAGTCTCATTTAAAGTGAGTTTTAATATCACGCAGCGCGAAAGGTCAGATTGCACAAGAATTGAATTCGTTACTTACAGAAAAATCAATGAAAGGAGTTTCCCTGTTTTGTATACCCCGAGTTAGCTGCCACGTTACGCACGGGCCAGCAATAACAAATCTATGTTATAATTTATCTTGAAAACACTTAAGGTATAATTAAATTGTATGTTATATTCTAGACTCATACAACCCACAATATACAGGCATACAGACATTTTACAACTTTGAACATCGGAGTTGTAGGTTTACCTTAAGCCACTATTATTGTGAATCAAGGGATTAGCTTACGTATGAATATAAACTAACATGATTCATAGGGACATAAAATCGAACACGTCAATGGGTACGAATTGCCTTCATTGACTAACGCTTGTGGCGTGTCAATGTGGCGCACCATTGCTACGTTGGTGGGTCGCTAGGACCGCCAGTCTGTGAATGCATTCTTACACTCTGCTATGGGCAGGTGCACAATCGAACTAAATACCTTCCCTTCTCCATGCGTCTACAATGTCACCGTGGAAAGAGCTTTGAAGCGTTCACCGACTTGCGGTATACCTGGCTTACATAAGCGCATGAGAGCGAGTATAACACTTCAGATTATAACACTTACTACTGGAGGGAGTAACACGGTTGTTTGGGGCTGTGATCAAACTGAATATTATCTAAATGTGGCTGGAAACTGGAAGAGATTCTCATGTGGACTTCAAAATATTCGTGATATAATACACACAGGTAGGTCTCGTTTCTGTTTTATTACAATTTCATTAACCATTGTACCGTGTCATTAACAACTATATATTGTAACATTAACCACTGTACCTTGTCATTAACCACACTATTGAGTCATTAACCACTGTACAGTGTCATTAACCACTATACTGTGTCATTAACCACTATACTGAGTCATTAACCACTATACTGCGTCAGTAACCACTATACCCTGTCATTAACCACTACACCGTGTCATTAACCGCTATATTGTGTCATTAACCGCTATACTGTTTCATCAACCACAATACTGTTTCAGTATCCACTATACCCTGTCATTAACCACTACACTGTGTCATTAACCACTACACCGTGTCATTAACCGCTATACTGTGTCATTATCCACAATACTGTTTCATTAACCACTATATTGTGTCATTAACCACTACACCGTGCCATTAACCACTACACTGTGTCATTAACCGCTATACTGTGTCATTAACCTCTATACTGTTTCAGTATCCACTATACCCTGTCATTAACCGCTATACTGTGTCATTAACCGCTACGCTGTGGCATTAACCGCTAAACTGTGGCATTAACCACTACACTGTGTCATTAACCACTATATTGTGTCATTAACCACTATACTGTGTCATCAACCACAGTACTGTTTCAGTATCCACTATACCCTGTCATTAACAACTACACTGTGTCATTAACCGCTACACTGTGGCATTAACCGCTAAACTGTGACATTAACCACTACACTGTGTCATTAACCACTACACTGTGTCATTAACCACTATACTGAGTTATTAACCACTATACTGAGTTATTAACCGAGTTATTAACCACTATACTGAGTTATTAACCACTACACTGAGTTATTAACCACTACACTGTGCCATTAACCACTACACTGTGTCATTAACCACTATACTGTGTCATTAACCACTATATTGTGTCATTAACCTCTATATTGAGTTATTAACCTCTATACTGAATTATTAACCACTATACTGTATCATTAACCACTAGAACCATTTTTAGAAATCGATTCAAATCATTAATCGATGTTTACATCTGTTGTAAGGAATTCCTAAATCCCCCACTATTTTGTGCATAGAGAAGTCGTTCTTATTTTAGTGTTGTTGCAGGTACTGAGTGAGTGTGTGAGTGAGTGGTGAGTGAGGGAGTATAGTTTTACGCCGCTTTCAGCAATATGACGGCGGGCGACACCAGAAATGGCTTCACACATTGTTCCAGGTACTGCATAAGGACACCTGTCACCGTGTCTCCGGATATCTAGGACTGAGAGGGTTATTTACAGTATTTAACTTGCTTGGCTTAGGTAGTGCCAGTGATAACCCGGGTTGTGAATCAGTCTCTGTCAATGGGTGTCTTTCCTCGGAAATGAAGCACGCTGTCATCACTCCTTTACTGGAAAAACCAAACTTGGATCCAGACAATGTAAAACATTCCCGCCCAGTGTCCAATCTGCCATTCTTGTGCAAGTTCATTGAAAGAGTTGTCGCATCAAGGCTCAGCGATCACTTGGAACACAACAACTTGGGTGAAGCAATGCAATCTGCCTACAAGCGCAGACATAGCACTGAATCGGCACTTTTACGAGTTCAGAATGACTTACTAAATGCTGTGGACTCACAGGGTGCTGCAATACTGGTTTTATTAGATCAGTCTGCTGCTTTTGACACTATCGATCATTCCATACTGCTTCTATTACTGGAATCAAGGATTGGAATCAGTAGCACAGCTTTGGACTGGTTTGAATCCTTTCTTTCTGGCCGCTTCCAGTCAGTGACAATAGATGGATGTAAATCACAAAGGCATAAACTTAGATACGGAGTTCCCCAAGGCTCGGTCCTGGGACCTGTCTTGTTCACTGTATATACACTGCCTGTAGGGGACATTGCAAGACGGCATAACCTATCGTTTCACCTTTATGCAGGCGACACACAGCTGTACCTAGGCTTGAAGCAGCATTTGAAAACATCATCTGCTGAGTCGACATTTGCATTAATGAGTGAAGCTATCGACGACATAAGATGTTGGATGTCTACCAACTATTTGAAGTTGAACAATGACAAACAGAACTTTTGATCCTGAGGCCAAGGTCTCTTTCAGGGATAATGGATTTGTCAACCTTAAAGCTTGGAGACAGCACTATATCACCAAGTGTTCAAGCTCTAAACCTCGGAGTTATCTTTGACTCTTCCCTGAGCATGGATCGGCATGCAGACACTGTCTGTAAATCCGCCTTTTTCCATCTGAGAAACATCAGCCAAATCAAGCACTTCATTGACAGATCAGCTATCCAGTCTTATGTCCAAGCACTGGTTATCTCACGATTGGATTATTGCAACTCTCTGATGTTTGGCACATCGCAGCAAACTATCAACAAACTCACAAGAGTTCAAAATGCATCACTGGTGCAGGCAAATATGAACACATCACGCCAACATTACGTACACTGTATTGGCTGCCAATCAGACTAAGAATTGTTTTCAAGGTGTTGGTGTTTGTACACAAGGCCCTTCACAACCAAGCTCCTGAATACCTGACTGAACTAGTGTCATGGTATCAGCCATCACGAACCCTGAGATCAGCCTCTTCAAAACAAGCAGCAGTGCCCTCTAACCGCAGAGAGAGTTATCGCGACAGAGCTTTTGCCAAAGCAGGTCCTCTGTTATGGAACCAACTACATGTATCTGAAAATTTGAAAAACTTGTCAGACATCATTCTATTAAAAAAAGAACTGAAAACAGTTCTCTTCAACAGAGCATTCGACCAAGCGCCTTAGAGCAAACCTTGGATTCAGGCGCTATACAAATGTTAACATTATTATTATTATTATAAATACTTAACACTTTGACGGGTTGAGCTCATCTAACATGATGTTTATTATTTCAGAGTAGCTGATGCCAAGCCATGGACAGAGGTACGTCATTGTGGAAAACATCATTAGTTGAAACATATGAGATATGTCAAGTTAGTATGATGATTGTAAAATTACTGATACGCTGAAACCTCGCTGGTCATTCTTTGGACATGATATACAATTATACATATATACGTTTATCGACTCATCGGTAGTCCGGGATAAGCGGTGGACATATACTAGCCACATAAAGAAACTGTGCATTGTCCAAATATTATCCCAGTTGATAAGTACGATAACAATGTCAAAGGTACATATAAACTTTAATGGGGGGATCATGAGACCATAACAAGTCGGGAGAATTTCAATTGAAAAGTCAATCACAATGACGTCACGAGTCCACAAGCGGGACAGGGGTCAAACGACCATGTCACAAGCTCAATAACGGGTATGTCCACCATCGGCATTGAGAACAGCAGTGCATCGACGACGCATAGAGCCTATCAAACGTGCAAGGAAGGCTTGTGGGATGTCACGCCAGATTCTCTCAAGTTCTGTTGCGAGGTCAAGGACGTTATCTTGCGGATGAGGAAGAAGGCGTAGGCGTCGATCCTTCTCGTCCCAAACATGCTCTATCGGGGAGAGATCCGGTGAATTTGCAGGCCAAGGCAGTAAGTCAACGTTGTGGTGTTGCAAGAAACCCATAGCAACCCTTGCCGTATGAAGGCGGGCATTGTCCTGTTGGAATGTTAACCCAGGGCCATGACGTTGCAGAAAAGGAATTGCCACAGGTCGAAGAATCTGATCCCTGTAGCCCACACCAGTTAAGTTGCCCTGAACAATCACCAAAGGAGTTCTTTGGTGTGCTGTTATTCCACCCCAAATCATCACGGAACCACCACCAAAGCGATTCCTCTCCAAGACACAGGCCTGTGCATAACGTTTTCCCACGCGTCTATAGGCACGTTGACGTCCATCACTATGGGAAATGTTAAACCTGGACTCATCTGTAAAAAGAACATTTCTCCACCAAAACAAGGGTCTGCGGACATGATTTCGGCACCACATTCGGCGAGCTTGTCGATGACGTTGTGTCAGGATAGGCCGTATGGCGGGACGTCGTGGTCTGATCCCGTGATGACGTAAACGTTGTCGAACTGTGTTGGGGTGGATACGGCGAAGTCCTGGGATGGTTCGGGCAGTCATCACTGCAGTCTGAAACCTGTGGCGAAGATGGGTCACCCTTATCCATCTGTTCTGTCTTGGCGTTGTTACACGTGGACGTCCAGAACGTGGCCGATCGATGACGTCATTTGTGTTCTGGTAGCGTCTCACCAGTGCAGAAATGGTGTTCCGGTGGCAGTGGAAATGTGCAGCCACTTGTCGTTGAGACATTCCCCCACGGACCATCCCAATGGCCTCATGACGTTGTGCAGACGTGAGCCTTGGCATGCTATGCGTTTCAATAGCCGTTTAATTTTCTGAACGATCGCAAGGGCAGGGGTTGAGCTTTCCAAAGTGACAGTATTGTGTGGCATTCATTTGCTCTGTTTCTCTTTCCCGGAATGCACGTGCAACAACGTATTGCACGTCTCAAGGACGAACCCACTGACGTCACGGAACGTGTCACGTGCATGCATGTTGGATACATGTCACTAATCTCTGAGTTTAAATCCTTATGTGTCTACACAGGTTTGATAAATTTAGATTTTAAATTTTTATATGCACAGTTTCTTTATGTGCCTAGTATAGTATGATCTGTCGCATACATGAGGCATCGTCTTAAGTTTATATTGACACTGAATACCAAAGTTCACCCTCCATACATGGGGCATCGTCTTAAGTTTATATTGACACTGAATACCAAAGTTCACCCTCACATACATGGGGCATCGTCTTAAGTTTATATTGACACTGAATACCAAAGTTCACCCAGGTTTAGTGCGTTAAATGGCTAATGTCGGATTTCGGATATGATGTGAGCAGTCTGAAATTTTAATCTCTGAATTATATTTGATATCTGCGGCCTCAATTACCAAACCTTATCAGTGAAGACATTCTATGAACCAGGATAAAATAGACACTTAACATTCATCAACACTGGTAAATAATATAACCATAAAGGTTATCTCATATATGATAAAAGGTTATCTCATATATGATAAAAACGCTTACTTTAAGCTGTTCTTCCTTCGTTTCAGAGAGGTTGGAAAATGTCGAGGTCACGATCGAGTTCATAGACATGCAGGAAATAATCCAGCAGTTGGAGGTTGACTATGTCGCTGCCAAGAGTACATTTTTTCTCCGTAAATATGGCCTGTTGAAAACTATGTTGAAGAAAGCAATAACTTCCATCAACCAGCGCTACTATTCCAAGGACAGGCCACGAGGCTACTTCGCCAGAGCATTAGCCAATCGACGCCAGAGAAAGAAAGGTAATTGAATGTTGATTGGTTTGGTTTAACATCGGTACGAACAGTACATCGGCTAGATTAGGTCTTCTCAGCTTAGTGATGGAGGAAATGCCTTTGTGTTGGATATTTACCACTAAAACCCACGAACATTTACAGTTTCATTTGTCATTCTTCACCGATAATTGTCTTATTATAAACTGAGGGGCAAAAGAAACGTCCCCAAAGTAAAATTGTAAAAAACATTTCTTCTGTTTTCGTTATGACGGAAATTTATTTAGGAACACATCTCCCGAACGCATCCCCACGTCTCACAGAAAGGAAATCCACGTGGAGTTTTTTGTAAGCATGAAAATTGCTTTTATTCACGTTTTTTGCATGCTTCTGTGGAAACATACCCGTATGAAAGTATAGTATAAAAATTATGCTCGACTGTTCGAATTCATCACTTCAATACGTTGGACACAAAGAACATGCCTCGACTCACGGCAGAACAGAGAACGAGCTATTGGGATGTTGCAGCTGGGTGCTTCTCACAGTCACGTTGCAAGAATCATGGGTTGCAGCAAGAAAACCATCACCAGACTGATGACACGCTTCAGAACAACAGGTCGGACTGCAGACAGGCCTAGGACAGGAGACCACCCGTAACCACCCCTCAGGAAGACCGCCATTTACGGGTGCTTCACTTGCGCAACAGATTCCTGACTGTGACGTCATCAGCAACAACCAGCCTTACCCATCCAGTCAGTAGAAGGACCATATCCAGACGACTCCGCCGATTCGGTATCAGAGCCTACAGACCATTCCGGGGCGTGACGTTAACGCGTGAACATCGACGTCGTCGATTGGCAGGCACGTAGAGTTCGGCAGTGGCAGCCGCGGAACTGGCGCCGGGTACTCTTCAGTGACGAGAGCCGCTTCCAGTTGAACAAAGCTGATGGTCGGGTACGAGTCTACAGACGTCGGAACGAACGCACAGCACGTTGTTGCGTTCAGGAAGTTGAGACGTTTGGCGGCGGTAGTGTGATGGTGTGGGGGAGATTTGTGGCGAGAGGAAGACTGACTTGTTGGTGATAGCTAGAGGGAAACCTGAATGCCCGTCGATACATTGATGTTGTTTTACGACCTGTCGTGTTACCCTTCCTCCAGCAGAATCGAGGCGTGTTGTTTCAGCAGGATAACGCTACTCCCCACACTGCTGTTGTTACCCGGAACTTCCTGAACAACAACAACGTAAACGTCATTCCTTGGCCAGCAAGATCCCCCGATTTATCACCTATTGAGCACCTATGGGATCATCTCGGCCGTCAGGTGAAGCAGCGTCAACATCCCCACAGACAAGAAACGCTTTGGCTCAAGCTCTACAGGAAGAATGGCGTCGCATCCCACATCACGTGATCAGACGTCTTGTGCACTCTGCACGACGTCGTGTGGCAGCATGTATCGCTGCAAGAGGTGGACACACTCGCTACTGAGGAGTTGGACACTCAAAGACACTCTGTCAGTACTGATGTGCATGTGTTGTCATGATCGAAAACCGGACATTTGAACCTCCTGTGAAAAACGTCACAAAAACTCTACTTACAGCAAATTGTTTCAATTGTTCTGTAATGACAGTCTGCATAATATGTTCAAAAATTATATCAAACATTTCAACATTGAATTGCACGTGTTTGTATCATTTTATGATACAAAAATGATCGGGGACGTTTCTTTTGCCCCTCAGTTTAATATCATTCAAAACAGCATAAAACCAACATATGGTTACTCATGGCGCATTACTATTGTTCGAAATATCCTATATATACTCATGCCAATAATGGTTGTCACCCCCTTCAATTTCTTTAATTGGCGAGGGTGTGTGGGGTGGGTAGTGTGAGGTGTGTGTGTGTGGGGGTGACAACCATTATTGGCATGAGTATAGTATCATAAAATCACGTAAAATCACTATTAAATCATGATAAGTAAAAGGAGACGAATGTTAATCATCGAAAGATATTATACCAAAAGTCCCGCCAAAACAGTCCCCATACTCTATGGTCGTAATTACAACGTTATGAACAGATATGAAAGGAATTGGTTGTTTACCGACACACTCTGCAATGTACCAGGTATCATGGACCGTATGGTCTGTACAGAACCGAGTCTCGGTAACCAGTGATTGTGTCGTGACGACGCCCCCAAACTCGAGTGGTCAGATGTCACGTACTCACCCAAAACCTCAAACTATATAGAATGTCCCATCTCCTGACATGACCCTTTGTATGGATGAAAACTCCTTTTATTCCTTAAAAGGTCGTTTTAGAGCTGGTTCTTAGTTCTGCATCAGATGGAAACAGAATAGAATGTCAATCAAAGAAGTGGATTGATAGGGTCGGTTCTAATTCCGGGAAATCCCATGGTGTGTGTATAAAGTGGAGCAGGTTCTATATATGTGTATGTTTATGCTGATTTACAGAGGTGCTGGCGATATCTGTAGACGACATCGAGGCCGACAGCTGCTTGAAGCGAGAGAGAATCAGCACCATCCGGAATCTCGACGTGGAATATGAAAGTTCCAAACGGTCTTTACCTCCTTGGAGATACCGGAATTTAAAAACAATGGCGAAAAATGTGATCGCGTTGAAGGACTTGGAATGAAGGAAAAAATATTGATCATGTTTCTGAAAGCGAACTCCTGTTGAATGTCTACAGCTGTTCGAACTACTGTTGAACTACATACGTCTTCGAAAACGCTTCCAAAAATCATGATTTGTGGTTTGTAATCCGATTGCCTCCACACGACACAAGTATGATCATTTACGACAAACGGAACTGTGACCACCCCTTTCTAGGCACGATCGTCATAATAGCATCATATGCCCTGGAAAGGCAGTGTTGGGGCCTATATCACAGGAATACAAATGTAAATGGTAAAAAATATTTATAGTATAGTACAGTATTTATTCATATATTGACATCCAGTCATAACATTCATAGATTAGCATGGGGACCATATGTTCGTGAGGCCCCAGGCGTAATGTCGGCCCTTCATCCCGAGCGGGAATCAGTAATTGCTATAAGAAATATTGAAAAACATTCCCAGTTTGTATTACTATTTTTATAAGACGTAAATTGTTTTAAACACCTCGTGACGTTCAGATAACCGTAATTACGCTTCTCTTAATCAACACTAGGCTTGCTCCCCGCTTGAAGTATTTCTTTGCTGGCGACAAGATGTTTAACGTGTGGGGCGAGGCGTTCGTGTAGCTACAGGCATGGGTAGAGTTTAACATTTCTAGCACATAAACAAGTACATGACGCACTGTTTAGTCAACATATCCATGGCCAGTCAAATATCCATTCGCCATAATCAAATCTGTTCATCTATCATACTGACCCACAAAATGATACTATACCATCCCCACACCGGCCATGGTCAAGAATTGTTTTCCTGGCTAACCACTCGCGGCTACGTCACCAACAACGTCTTCTGCCATCTGTGAATCGGAGGTAAAAGAGGTCTGCTACAATATGTTGACACAAAATGTGAAAGGACGGCCATACTTACTGTAACGTCCTTGTATTGGTCAAGGATCGAAATACCAAATGCATTCTTGCATAAACAAAAGTTATTGACATTCTTAGACTATCTGACCGCCTCCGTGGTGTAGTGGTTAGAGCGTCCGCCCGGAGAGCGGAAGGTCGCGGGTTCGATCCCAGACCGCGTCATACCAAGAGACGTTAAAATATGGTACTTGTTGGTCCCTGCCTGGCGCTCGGCATTAATGGGTACAACAAGGACTGGTCGGCTCGGAGTCAGTATAATGTGTCTGAGTGGGGTATTCATGCTTCACTGCTGCATGGTATCTCAGTGTGCTGGCACTATAAAACCAGCTGAAGTCTGGGCTAGTACATGAAGCCGCACATATTCTCACACGCATGACGTCGTCATAAGCGAAATATTCTCAAGCTCGACGTTAAACCCAATTTCACCTCACCTCATTTTAGACTATCTTGACCTATGACGTCACGCATGTTTTCCTATTAATAAGTTATACCTTTTACTGGTCGTTGCGGGTTGGTGCACCTTCTCCTATCAGTGACGATGTGGTTCTGGGGAGTGGTGCTGTATATTAGAAATACATTATATTTATGTTAGAACTGTCTTGTGTAACACTACGATGACTATCGTTACTGTTTAATTCTCTGAAAAAAGTGGGCGAGTGATTTGGGGTTAAGGCCCCTGTCAACAGTATTCCAGTTATATGACGGTGTATCAGCTTGACGTGGGAGGAGGGCGGTGGGGTAGCTTTGTGGTTAAAGCGTTCGCTCGTCACGCCGAAAACCCGGGTTCGATTCCTCACATGGGCACAATGTGTGAAGCCCATTTCTGGGGTTCCCCGCCGTGATATTGCTGGAATATTGCTAAAAGCGGCGTAAACTCACTCACTCATGTGGGAGGGAAGACCGAAGTGACGCAGATCTCAGGAGTTTACCACTTAAGTAAAACCTACGAGCACGGGTATGGTACTGGCACACCGAGAAACATAAATGGGGGTCTCTGATACGAATGATCTCACTGCTTGCATATTGTTGTATTTGACGAGAGGTACTGTATGTATCTCGACCTCGAGCTGTACAAATATAATGCAAAAATACAACTTGTATGACTATACTTGAACTGAACTGAATAAAACACATCGAACATATTCGACTTATCTTAAACATTCTCTGTTAATATACAGTTATCTCTTTGAAATTTTGAGGCTTATGGCCAAGCTTTGGGCTGTGGATTAGGTGTAAAATTTGATGGGTCCAGCCATATATGTCTTTGTATTGATCTTCCTGGACTATAGGAATCCGGTATATAAATGAAAGGATCAACTTCAGGTTTTTGTGTCGTCTAAAGTTGATGGCACTGGGTCCCGATCCACAAAGCGTTCGTAGCGCTACGCCATTTGTAACCTTGTGGTAAACTGTAGAGTTACGACAGGTCGTAAACCTACGAACACTTTGTGGATCGGCACCCTGGTGCATGTTTTGTGCAAATGGTTTCCTCATTAACACACGGGCCTTACATGTGTCACTATTTGATATGTCACTTCTTTGATAAAAGAATTAATGTAGTGATGCTTATATATACTGGTTATGGTCCCTAGGGCCTTGTCGGTGAGGTCAGCTACTCTTTTCATGTAGGGCAGACACAAGTTGGACGAGACTTGGTTGGGACAAGAGGAGTTTATTCCAATACAGTTTTCCTTTCAGTATGTGCATTCCTCCAATGACAACATCTGACAATGCCTTCCCATTCAACAAGTTCTTCTTCCCTTTTGGCCCACTTTGTGACACATCTATAGAAAACATCTATAATGATTGTAAGGTTCTGATCCCAATTGGTGGATGGCTGCTCACGATATTTTGGTTCAAATTTGTATAACAATAGAGAAGTCACCTGTTACTACATGATCCCCTGCAACATGGTGCCTGACCTTGTTGACCCAGTAGTACTGATGTCTGGGAGGGTTGGATGGGCAGATGCTGATCCTCTACATGGAGCTGGACCTTGTTCACCCAGTAGTACTGATGTCTGGGAGTGCTGAATTGGCAGATGTTGATCCCCTACAACATGGTCCTGGATACTGCTCCTCTACAGTAGGAGAATGGGCATGGTCCTGGACCTTGTTCACTGATGTCCAGTAGTACTGATGTCTGGGAGTGCTGGATGGGCAGATGTTGATCCCCTACAACATGGTCCTGGACCTTGTTCACCCAGTAGTACTGATGTCTGGGAGGGTTGGATGGGCAGATGTTGATCCCCTACAACATGGTCCTGGACCTTGTTCACCCAGTAGTACTGATGTCTGGGAGGGTTGGATGGACAGATACTGCTCCTCTACAACATGGTCCTGGACCTTGTTCACCCAGTAGTACTGATGTCTGGGAGGGTTGGATGGACAGATACTGCTCCTCTACAACATGGTCCTGGACCTTGTTCACCCAGTAGTACTGATGTCTGGGAGTGCTGGATGGGCAGATGTTGATCCCCTACAACATGGTCCTGGACCTTGTTCACCCAGTAGTACTGATGTCTGGGAGTGCTGGATGGACAGATACTGCTCCTCTACAACATGGTCCTGGACCTTGTTCACCCAGTAGTATTGATGTGTGGGAGTGCTGGATGGGCAGATGTTGATCCCCTACAACATGGTCCTGGACCTTGTTGACCCAGTAGTATTGATGTGTGGGAGTGCTGGATGGGCAGATGTTGATCCTCTACAACATGGTCCTGGACCTTGACAGGATGTGGACACAATGATTAGTTACTGCATGTATCTGTGGTGATGCAGAAAGTGTTGCATAACTTGTGGTGAATAAATTAGATCCACCATCAGAAACAGTGACTGAATTTCTGATTTGCCTAAAGTAATTCAGAACATACTTAAAACATAACGAAATTGTATACAATATTTATTACAATGTTATATATACAATCTAATGACTATTTAGATGTTTTATACAGGATTTTGTTCACCTTTCACTATATATGTAATCTGTCAATAAAATGACAGATGTGCCAATATAAACTACATCTGTTTCAGCTAGTCATTGCTGTATACCTGCTTCATTGCATCTGTCAACAAGTCAAATGGAAACTTCTCTTGTTGTATAGATCATTTGCAGTATGACTGGTCCAAGTATTAGATTCTGTCTGTTTTCTTTTGGAATATAACACTAATTCCACAGAAATATCAGTGTCAGTTTTTCCCTCAGGGCAGCTAGATTCCATCAGGAATAAAAGGCAACAAAGTGATGAAAATGTAATGGATCACTGAAAATCCATGACAACACAAAGTATTTGTAAAAAGAGTAAACATATCCTACCTTTGTGTTCTATTTGGCTTCACAGATGAATAGATTCATTTATAGTTCCTACAATTCAAAATGTTCCTCAAAGTGCTGGATCCTACCGCTGGAGTTGAGCATTTATTAAAGAGCAGATGGCTGCATCGTAAGGGAATTGTTTGAGCTTATGGAACTTATGGAATGATAACAACAGCATCAATATCAATCTGGTAAATACAATCTGCATTTCACTCAAACAGCCACACCCACTGTAAAACAACAGTCATGTCACACCTGTACAGCAAACCAAACATTTGGAGCCAAGGATGACAAGATAAAGTTTGAGTGTGTTGTATCAAATTGCGATGCATGAGATGTTTGTGACAGGTTCGTACAGCTGTTGATGGATAACAATGATACTACCTCGTGCAGTGTAACATAATGCTGAATAATGACCAGACATACACTGATGGTATATACACTGAAATACTAGGACACTTGACAAACAGGGAAGTTTTCAAATACTGACACGGTTTTAAGACAAGAAGCTCTGGTATCAGAAATCTAAGTAGCTTTGGAGGAAAGATGCATTGATCTAAAGTACATGAATAGTTTAAGAGCAATTTGATTATCAATCTGGGGATAGCGACATACATATGAGCATGATAAGGCTTGCTACACTGTTTGAAACTGGACAGTGTCTTTCAGTGCAATATTAACAAGGAGGTAGATACAGAATAATATATTCCTACATACAAGCAATAAACTGTGATACATGATATATACACAGGGTATTAATGAAACAAAATATGACTTGTTAAGAGGAAGGAGCTATTAGACCACCCTTCAACCAGAGTCAACTGCCAACCTTTTGCTGATTTCGGACAAAACTAAAACTTCTTGTAAAAGAAATATTGATGAAAAACTCTGAATCACAGACAGTAAGACATGGCACACAGTGTATGTATTCTCCAAACAAAGGAAGCAGTGACATTTGATATTTGTGACGAAACAGATATTCAGCCAAGTGCTTTTTCAGTTTGACAAGCATTGACAAGCTAGGGAAGACCATAGCCAATAAATCTCATCTTACAGTGTTACATTGAAATTCTCAGTTCCATTTCATCCTTGGCTTTACACAGAAATGTCTAAAATTTTGCATCGAAACTGACAACACTAAGAAGGAAAGAATACTATTCTTCTCCTTCTTAAAGTTTCACATTGAAAATGAAAATGAAAAGTTTCTTTTCCATTCCCACATTTCACAAAAAAAATATGAAATTACCAAGAACAAAAGAACCGTTCTTCATCATAAGTGAATGAGTTGAAAAAGACAGGAGGCTATTCTGCTTCCTCTTGTGTAATACAAAGAGGAATGTCCTAAGAAGATATTTAATCATTCTTCTTCCAATTGTTCACCTTACACATGACAAAAAGCTTAATCTCCTTAAGTTTAACATTCAAAATTGAAGCCCTTGCACAATAAGACAAAACACTTTCTTCCATTCCAGCATTTGACATACAAACAAAGTGCTAAGAAAAACGCCTTTCTCATCCATTCTGAAGTTTCCCATGGAAAGAAAATTTGTGTTGTTATTGATAGACTTTATCGAAAAGAAAATGAGGAAATGCAGAATGAAACAGTCTTCATCATTCTTAAGTTTCACAGTGAAACATGATAAATAATGAAGGCTCACAAAGCTATTGTCAACCATCATTAAGTTTCACACTGATAACAAAAACTTTAAGAAAGTTAAACATCCATGCACTCCCCAGCAAACATGTGGTAGGGATGTGTGAAATCTGCTGTATGTTTCAGTTTCACACAGACTTGGAATTAAAGAACTCTCATAAAACTGTTCTCCTCATATACAAAATTAAAAGTTCCAGATCGAAATATATATAAAAATGCATGAGATTTAGTGGATGTAACAACACCAAGAGAAAAAAAACATGAGCAAGGAGATGGACTTCGCAATCCAAGGATATGGACTCTGATGTACAAGGCGATGTTCTTCAATGCAGAATTATACACTTCATCAGCAAAGCAAATATAATCCAACTACACCACTACTTTTATTCAGTCACTGTCTGTACTTCTTCAGGTGCCGAAAATCCTGAAAAAGTACCAGGGAGTGCCATGGCATGTTTGACCTTGGAGTAAATTAGTATGTTTGAGTTGTGGAACATATAAACTGTCAAGATGGCATCATGGTCCCAGGACTCATCTTCTGACCTCATGGTGATGACGAGAAACACACAGGGACATGTTGTCATCTGACTTCACATCCTGCAGACTAGAAGGGCAAATACCCTTAAAGTGCACTGGAAGACCTGGTATGCTTCACTCATGTGAAGACATAGTTCCACATGAAAGAAGGGCATTCTAGCAATCAGTATCTCTGATGAAAACAGAACTCACAGTATCTAAAGTTGTATGGTAAAATACAACAACATATAAATTACTGAAATGAGGTCTTCTGAAATAGTTGGAGCAACATACCATGGCTAAGATGACAATACTATCTGGCAATGTATATTTCAAGACATTATTCAGTTTCACCCCAAGTTATATCCTGATACCACACATAGTAGTGATCTATCACACTTCTCGGGCTACTACTGGGCTTCACCATGCAGCAACATGCAGGATTGTTGAGCAAATGACTTCCTTTCACCATCCTTAAAACATCTGGATGAAAAATCCCTTTCAAGTGTAAATAATGAGTTTACTTGTGAGCTAAAATGACTCCTACAAACGTACCCCTCTATCGGCAGGGGTGTTTCAGTGATACTTTTTACAATACAATACAGACAGATATATGGATGCAATATATATTAACCAGGTAATTATCGTCTTCAAAAAGTGTAGTGGGAGGCACTTTAACTAGATTTACCTGTAACTGAGCTTGTTAATGCGGTAAGAAATACCGGAGAGTGAACGTCATGGATAACATAGCCTACTGAAGCCCAGTGTGTGAATGTTGTAAGCTAGAATGAAAATCTTGTAACTGATTACTGATAACTGACATTTTTCAGTTTGACATGGGTCTGTTTGACAGTGTCTGCTGGAAGGGTTGGCTGAACATGGTACTAATCTAGATAACTACAAGACACATAAATAACATCAGCACCATCTGGTGATGGTTGTAAGCTACAATGAATATCACAGATACAGCATTTTTCATATGGGTCAGGCAGCCTCCCTCCAAGAAGGGACATGGGAGGTCTCAGAGTCACAGAATCCACTGAGCAGGAAGTCACACAGAACAGTGAGAGAAGGGACATGGGAGGCAGATCAAGTTGATGCTCACAAGCGTGAGACACGAGCAGATCAAGTTGATGCTCAAACGTCTAGATGAGCCTTAAAACAGCAGGTCTTCATACACTCCTTGCTGTAAAATATGTAATACAGCACAACGTGCAGGATACATCAGATCTGGAATAGTTCTGGAAGAAGTCGCTCAAAGCCATGTCATCCACATTATGCACTGTGAGCAGGAAATTGTCCACTACAACATGGCTGTCCTGTGTGTCAGACCGAGGACTTGATGATGGGGGAGCTGGTCAAAGTTCCGAACGATCCCAGGGGATTTTTGATTTTGAGGTCAAGTTCATCCTGTAACACTGCTGCTCTCTGCTGTAGGGAGTTGACTTGAGACCGGAGCGATCTGATGGTGTCTTCCAACTCCTGGAAGCAAACATGGAACATCTTTATCTTATAATACCTGACATAGGAAACAATTCTTGAAAATGCAATGTTGATTTTAACAATTCATATGTAAGTAAATGGGTGAATACATCTCAGACCTGAGAAGTGTTTCAGTGGTACAATGACCAATTATCTCAGGCCACACTAGAGTCTTCCCTTTGAGCCAGTCCTCCAAACAATGGTTCCCCTAAAGCAGCCATTGTTGCCTTTCGGTCATCTCACAGAAAGGCATGGGGTTGGGAATATTTTCCCCTAGGGGTCATCCCGACTATGGCAGCTTGTACATGGCTGTTACCAGCTTGTATATCTCACCTCTCTCACAACTGCTGGCATCAGACCCCTCAGCTTCTCCTCATGGTGCAGCTTCAGTCGAGTTATCTGCCATGAAGCAAGAAACACTTTGATGTAAGTAATTATTAATCTTTCTTCTAAGCATGGCATCAAGGAATGACAGAACAATTGTAGGAACAATACTCATCTACGTACCAGCCGGGCCCCATTCCTCAAAGCGATCGTAACCCTAAGACCATCGTAAGTCTCATACTTTAACACAGACTTACAAAAGTTGTAGCACTACGATCGCTTTGTGGAATGAGGCCCTGCCCACTTATCTCTCTCCTGAATCCACTTAGTGTAACACCCAACCAGCATCCTTACTTGACCAGATCACTTTCCTCTATACCTATCACCTTCTAATCCTGATTTTTCTATCCCACCATCCCACCTCCCTGGCAATCCTGATATTCTACCCCATTGCCCCAACTTCTTGTTAACCCTCACCTTTTCTTCTTGGTCTGCCTCCACCCTCTGCAGCTGTCTCTCCATATTTCGACTCTTATTTCGTTGGGAATCCAATTCTTTTTGCAAAGCCTGTAAATACAAATTATCCAAATTCTTGAAATCTGCAAAACTTTCAGTATTATTCACCTGTTGACAAAGCCACAAACATTTCAAAAGCTAACCAAATCCAACCATGTAAAGGGTGGCAGTACTAGCCCACATAATGTTTGTGAGGGTCGACTCACAGTGACGTTGGTGGTGTACTGTTTCTTCATGGCCTTCTTGTCCTGCTCATGCTGGGTAGCCAACTCCGTCATCCTCTGGTCACACTGCTGTCGAATCCTAAAACAAACAGTTTCATCTATAAATTCTCACTGCTTACAAAAAGAAAAACATGGTTCACTGAATATACAAGATGTTCTGAAAACCAGTGTGATGTGGGTCATGATTTTGTTTGACCTGAAGTGCTGACATGAAATTTCTAGCCTAAACTGAAATCTCAGTTTATAACCATACCACTCCCAGCACCTTCACATGCAGCAGCACCTTCACATGCCAGCACTTTCACATTCACACGACGCACCTTCACATTCACATGCCAGCACACACCTTCACATGCTAGCACACACCTTCACATGCCGCACCTTCACATGCCACGCACCTCATACATGCCAGCACCTTCACATGCACACATCGCACCTTCACATGCCAGCACCTTCACATGTAACCACGCACCTTTCACATGCCAGCACCTTTCACATGCCAGCACCTTCACATGCACCTTCACATGCCAGCACCTCCTTACACGCGACCTTCACATGCCAGCACCTTTCACATGCCAGCACACACCTTCACATGCCACGCACCTTCACATGCAGCACACGCACCTTTCATGCCAGCACCTTTCACATGCCAGCACCTTCACATGCCAGCACCTTCACATGCCAGCACCCTTCACATGCCAGCACCTTCACATGCACACACGCACCTTCACAGGCATGCCAGCACACCTTCACATGCACCTTCACATGCACCACGCACCTTCACATGCCAGCACCTTCTTCTACATGCACGCACGCACCTCACATGCCAGCACCTTTCACATGCCAGCACCTTCACATGCACACACGCACCTTCACAGGCCAGCACCTTCCTCGGCCAGCACCTTCAAGCAGCAAGTCATTCTCTGTATGCTCTACTTCTGTCATGCTTTGCCTCTACCCACATCCCAGCTTCATCCCCTCCACAACACACACCCATCAAAACTCCTCGCCTCTTCCCCTAAATAATCCTAACCCCATCCCAAAACACACCCCTTACTCTATGCCTAGCCCTGTCCCCATCCCAATTCTGTCTTATGATCTCTTTGCACATCATGCTTCTTCCCTTCTCGCCCCCGCCCCCTTCTCCATAACACACACCCTTACACAGACTCTTCTTGTCTCCAATAAACACACCTAGAGTCCCCCACAAACATGCCCCTAACCCTGCCCAACAAACATGCCCCTAACCTTCCCCTACAAACATCCCACAAACATGCCCCTAACCCTGCCCCACAAACATGCCCCTAATCCTGCCCAACAAACATGCCCCCAATCCTGCCCCACAAACATGCCCCTAACCCTGCCCCACAAACATGCCCCCTAACCCTGCCCCACAAACATGCCCTAATCCTGCTCCCACAAACATGCCTCCCCCTGCCCCACAACATGCCCCTTAATCCTGCCCCACAAACATGCCTCCCCTGCTGCCCCCACAAACATGCCCCCTAACCCTGCCCCACAAACTGCCCCTAACCCTGCCCCACAAACATGCCCTAACCCTGCCCCACAAACATGCCCCTAACTCTGCCCCCACAAACATGCTCCCTAACTCACTGCCCCACAAACACGCCTCTAACTCTGCCCGGACAAACATGCCCCTAACCCTGCCCCACAAACATGCCCCCTAACCCTGCCCCACAAACATGCCCCTAACTCTGCCCTACAAACATGCCCCCTAACCCTGCCCGACAAACATGCCCCTAACCCTGCCCCACAAACATGCTCCCTAACCCTGCACCACAAACACACCCCTAACTCTGCCCCACAAACATGCCCCTAACTCTGCCCCACAAACACGCCCCTAACTCTGCCCCACAAACACGCCTCCTAACTCTCTACCCCACAAACACGCTCTCCTTAACTCTGCCCTCCCACAAACACCCCCTAACTCTGCCCCACAAACATGCCCCTAACCCTGCCCCACAAACATGCCCCTAACCCTGCCCCTACAAACATGCCCCCTAACTCTGCCCAACACAACATGCCCCTAACCCTGCCCCACAAACACACCCCTAACCCTGCCCCCACAAACAAACCCCCTAACCCTGCCCCACAAACACACCCCTAACCCTGCCCCCACAAACACTTCCTAACCCTGCCCCCACAAACATGCCCCCTAACCCTGCCCCCACAAACACGCCCCTAACCCTGCCCCACAAACATGCCCCTATCCCCTGCTCACCTCTGCCTCATGGTCTCTCAGCATCTTCTGCTTCTCCTCCTCCCGGAGCAGCCCCAGCTCCACCAACTGCTGCTTCCGGAGCTGGTTTGACTGTACAAGCTCCTCTCGCAGCTCTCGCACTTGGCCCTCAAACTCTGTCATGTTCTGCAACAAGTACATACACGTAAAAACCACAGGAAGGATATGTCCCACCATTCCATGGGATTTAAAGAAGTGAAACACCACATGAATGTCCTGTCTTAATACACAATACCATACAGTACCTTTGTGTCCTTGTCACTCCTCTCTTTGTACCGAGCCTCCAGTGACCTCAACTCCACTCTGTGACCCTCCTTCAGTGTCTCCACAGCCTTCTCATGTTCTGACAAGATATACTCCTTCTGAAGGTGAAGGTCATGTAGCATCTGCGACCTCTCATGTTCAAACGATAGCTTCATTTCTGCTATCTGCAAATATATTTTCTTTAGGTTAGCGTAATGCCTTTTACAAAGTCATCCCATGTAACCTGTTGTATTGAGGAAAACATTTTCTTAGCAAAGTACATAGCCAAGTACCTTTTAGGGTTGTGTCATGTCCAGGACTTGAATCCCAAATATGTTAGTTTAGAATTGTTATTAATGGGCAGAAGTCATTTAGGAGATAAACATCATGTGTTGGGTTATTGAGTACTGTAATCGTAGTTATTTTCGCGTGGGATTAATTTTCCCGCTTTTAGCGAAAAATGATTGTGCGTCAATAATCATACCAAGTGAAATATTCATGGTCAAGTCATGACAAATACTCAAGTAGGAACATATAACAACATCAAAACAATATGGAAAGGAATAGAGGCATATACTAGTCTACCAGTACTAGCGATCACAATCAGCAAATGTTTGTTGTCAGTTTGTCAGTTAATTGATAGCTGATTACTTGTAATCACAAAATGAACGAAACTCACTTACATCAGTCACAAATCACAATCTTGACACAAGTATAATCCCACATCTCTCTGATTGTTTTAGTAAACATGATTCAATTATGGCGGCTAGCATTGATCATTGCATGTCTATGGGTTGTGAAAACTTTGTGATGGACACCACCACTCAGTCTTTTGTGAACTTTCCGCGAAAATTGCATCCCGTGAAAATATATATGATTACAGTATTTGAAGCACGGGAATTCATTTGGAACAGACGGCGTCATTGTAAACACAAAAGTAAACCAAAAGGTCGACACACGTTTTTGTGTCTGCACTCATTGACATAGAGTATGGGTACAGCAGTGAAATGTCATCAGCCAGCCGTTTCGGCTGTCTCCCATTGTAGCATCTGGAACTGCTCATTTGTGACGTCATTCAGACTTTACGTCACAATATGATTTGAATGCCGTCATCTCAGCTGACGACATCACAATACAATGGTGTGAGCGATGTTTGTATGTATTAATACACAGCGAATTTCTGGGAATCGAATACCATTTGATCATGTTTTTCAACCAATCAGATTAAAGAACACAGTGATTTTTGGTTTTGTGTCATGTCCAGGACTTGAATCCCAAATATTTTAGTTCAGAATTGTTATTAATTGGGCAGAAGTCATGTAATAATGTATACTAACCCAATTATACTTAATTTTTGAGAGAGCAAACTTGTTCTATAACAATTACAGTTTTATTATGTTCAATAATTCTGTTGACTAATAATCTGTACCATGATGATTCAAGTCTCCTTGACCTTGACCTACCTCCCTGTTGAACTTTCCCCTCTCTTGGTCCAGCTGCTTACTGAGTTCCTTGTTTTGCTTCTCCCGAGAATGTTTGGACTTGTTGAGGTCTGACTCCACCTGGGCCATCTGCAACCAACATCAGTCATGAGAGAACACATACATGCACTACTCGTTAGCAGGAGGTACTCCCTGTCTGGAGCTGGTAATTCAGGTATCCAGTAGGTTACTGAGTAAGTTGCCCTGTAAATTCCTCATTAAGACCAACAAGAAGACAAAGTCATCAATATCTCCCGCAATGGCAAAATACTCTGCATGATTATGTCTTCGAGTTATGATTATGTCAAATATTTAGGTGTGTATATAGAAAAGTGGAAGGAGAGTATTGAAAGGTTTTTAAAGTTCTGCTCCAGAAAGGAGCACTATCACCAATTTCAGTCTATGTCAAACTTGTTGCCATGGAAATGCCAAAAATATTTTATTCAGAAATCCAAAACTACCAAAAGGCACCAGTACACCACCAGATCTATGTATGTGCCAAGTTTGGTGAAGAAACATTGAACGGTTTTAGAGTTCTGCTTGGGAAAAGTGCACTACCACTAATTTCTGTTTTAGTCAAACTTGTTGCCATGGAAATGCCAAAATATTTTATTCAGAATTCCAAAACTACCAAAAAGGAACCAGTACCCCACCAGACCAATCTATGTGTCAAGTTTGGTGAAGAAATAGTGAACGATTTTAGAGTTCATCTCCGGAAAAGAGCACTACCACTAATTTCAGCCTAAGTCAAACTTGTTGCCATGGAAATGCCAAAAATATTTTATTCAGAATTCCAAAACTACCAAAAGGCACCAGTACACCACCACACCAATCTATGTGCCAAGTTTGGTGAAGAAATATTGAACGGTTTTAGAGTTCTGCTCCGGAAAAGACAAATGTGCACGGACGGACGGACGGACGCACAGACGGAGTCCATTTTAATACCCCCCGCAAAACGCGTTGCAGGGGATAACAATAGTGTGTGAGTGAGTGAGTGAATTTAGTTTACGCCGCTTTTAGCAATATTCCCGCAATATCACGGCAGGGGACACCAGAAATGGGCTTCACACTTTGTACCCATGTGGGGAATCGAACCCGGGTCTTCCACGTGACGAGTGAATGCTTTAATCACTAGGCTACCCCACCACCCCAAGTCCAGCAATAAGTCACGGAGTGAAAAGAGTAATTTTGAGCATTTTGACACAACAGTGAATCAGATTTGCACCATGTGTCAATACACAGGTCTGTAGTTAGGTTATCTATGTTGCATCGCTACCAACTGACAGAGCTGACATACTTGCTGCTTCATCTCCTCGTAAACCCGGTTCTGGTTCTTCTCCACCTCGGCCTTGAACTCCTCCAGAGCACGTTCTGCTGACAGGGCCTGATGCTTATTGTGTTCTCGCAGTCTCTGGATCTCAAGGTCCTTCTCTCTGTAACCACATCCATCTCCTCATTATCTCCCTCATATATAGGATCAAACTTGATAAACATAACATCATTGACAACTTTGAGGGCTGAAAAACAAATTCCTCTATGGTTTCCTAATTGAATCATCCACAGAGCAGTCAATAATCCTCCTGTTAGTCCTATGAATTATCACTTGTCTTTGGTTTTACGCCGCTTTTAGCAATATTCCAGCAACATCACATGGTGGGAACACCAGAAATGGGCTTCACACATTGTACCTTTGTGGGGATTCGAACCCAGGTCTTCGGCGTGACGAGCCAACGCTTTAACCACTAGGCTACCCCACCGCCTCTGTTTTCTAAGAAATTTCCTTAATGTTGGACATTCTGTACAGGGGCTATTATTTTCTATTAAGTTGTTTACAAAGAAAATCAGAAAGTTCAATGCAGGTGGATGGGCAAAAACAACTAAATCTTCCAGATTAGTAGTTACTAATGATTAAAAACTGAAACATTCATCGACAAAAGAAGATTGATTTGTTTTAGCTAGAATACAGATTTTTGAACATGTTACCATTTCTTACAATGAGCGGTGATAAAATGTCACAGTTTTTCATCTCACCTAATTGTAAAACAGAGAGGGACAACAGTTTTTGTCTGAAGTCATATTTATTTTCCCATTTCATTTTTTTCTTAATTGGTAGGATTTATAAACAAACTAAAGTATGATATAAGGCCATAGCAATTTCAGCTCATTGTTTGAATCCAAACTAATGACCTCCATATTCCTTGATTACAACACTGCAGCACCTTCCTTGACATGTCTCGTCTCATATAAAAGGTGAAAGGTCAACTCACTGTAGCAGGTGCTCGGAGGCGCGGATCTTCTTCTGGGACTCCTGCTCCATCTGCTCTAGCTCCTGCTTCATGCTGCGGATCTGAACAACAACACACTCCATATATACACTGCTGGTGGTCTCTCACTGCTCACACACAAGCTCTTTTAGCACTTATCACACGCTAATCTTACACTGTTTCAGCAAACATCACATAATAAACAAAACACAACCCCTTTCATTACTTCAGCTTATATTACATTTTACATTGTCACTTATGCAACAAGACTTGTTTATGGAAAATATGTTTGCATTTAATGTAAGTCACATACATGTTATACATGCTTTAAGGCAAATGTGTCAGTTTCATGAAAGAAACAAAATACCTCTGTTAATAGTCTATAAAATGGTTAAAAATACAATAGAAAATGAAATGATACAAAACAATGAACCAAACAAAAATATCTAAAATGGTTAGAAAAATAGCAGGAGTGAACAGTAAACACATATATGGAGTTAGTGGGTGGCTACAGACCTGCTAGGGTACAACTGTGCAAGTGTGAGGGTGGGGACTGTAAGCCAGTCTCTGAGGGACTGTAAGCTAATTTATGAAGGGGAAGGGACTGTAAGCCAATTTAAGGGGGAAAGAGAGATTGTAAGCCAAATAATGAGGCGGGAGGGACTGTAAGCCAAATAAACAGGCGGGAGGGACTGTAAGCCAAATAATCAGGCAGGAGGGACTGTAAGCCAATTTATGAAGGCGGGGGGGGAGGGACTGTAGCTCCATCAACAAGGGAGAGGGAGGGACTGTAAGCAGCATATTGGGAGTAAGGTAGGGTAGGGACTGTAAGCCAGTCTACTGGCGTGAATGAGGGCGAACTATCATCTAAAGGAATTCACAAACCTGGACGTAAGGGCATGCCAACATACAGACCACCCAAGTTGTGTCTGGGGCATATTGTCTGAAGCCAGTCTGCAATATTTCAGCAACCACATGACAGCCTGTCAGTAATGCCAGACATACCAGCAACAGAGAGCCTCTTGGAGTACAACTGGGAGTTCAGTGTCCTGGGGCAACACCCTACCAGATATTCATACTGCACAACCACTGCATACATCATGGCCTTGCCGACATCTTTCACTAACAGGGATAATTTTAATAAACAATTCTAACATGCCTAAAAGCCTCTAGTACCTACATCTACAATGTAAAGATCAACGATTACCTCTGACAACTGCTGTAAAGACAACACCAAGCAAGGAATTAATAGTCATACATATCAAGTGCTGGGCAATAACATGCATATAGTCCCGGCTAGAGGGCAATATCATGCATAACTACACAGTGCAATATCATGCATACAATCCTCCACACAGGGTTTATGTGTAGGGTGTGCATGCCGTGACCTCAGGGTCAGTAGTACCTGTTTATCAAGCTGGTTTTCAAAGTTCAATTTCTCCTGCTGTCGAACTTGATCTAACTCCTGAAATATATCCGCAGCATACACTGTCATTCACGCAGCATGTGATGTATTGGAAACCTAGCAATTTTCTAGCAATATGGATGAGAAAATGTTTGACAATAATCAATAACAACATATGACGCAATTTTACACTGCTTGTCTGCGGGTGTTCAAATTGTAGGTGAGGCTATCAATCGGGGCTCTGTTCTACAACACAATCTTGTGCTTAATGAACACCGAGAACAAAGCAAATTATAAAGAATAATTTTTTAATGGATAGAATATTAATGGTCCTTGTCCTAAACCCTGAATTGAGTAAAATCCCACATGGAGACATACATCGCATTGCCTGTTGACACACAATCAGCTTATGTCACGTCAGTTCAATATATATATCCAGCATTAATCGTAAAACACACATCAGTACAACAATACAAGTTCCACATAAGGCTGGCAGGTGTGAGAAGTTGAAGCAAATGGCCACACAGTACCAGGCTCTGTGTCTAACTTACCAGCTTCACTAACTGTAGGCTAGGAATCTAGTGGACAGAAAACTCACACATCTTAACATGTGTGCACTTGATGCACATGTTTGAACGCTTTCACTGACAATTCTCTAAAAATAAAACCATTACAAATATACTGTTCCACATTTGACCAAGATATTTTCATCTTTCCATGATACAGAAACTGATGAAACTCCATGTCATGTGTATAATTAAGTAGAATGACGCTTCTGAATATTCATATACAAAGTTGTAGTCTATACTGCATGTGGTTCCTAGCCTTACACTGACCTCACACTATGGTCATCTACCATATAGTTTCTACTTCTGACATATTTTGTCAAAGGTCTACTAACAAGTAAACTGATATTCAACAATATACTCAACTCAGCATGTATCAATGTGAAAATATACTGGATTATTGATACATCATCAATGTATAGTGTGGCTATCAGTGCAGGTAGTGAGAAAGGGTGCAGATATCTTACCCGGATCTGATTCTGGCGCTGTTCATCCGACTCCTGCATGGACCTCCTCATGGACTCCAGCTGAATCTCCATGTCCCTCACAGCATCTGCAGCCTGCAGTCACATCACATCGTCACAGTCACATCACATCGTCAGTCACATCACATCATCACAGTCACATCACATCATCTCAGTCACATCACAGTCACAGCCATCGTCAGTCACATCACATCACATCACAGTCACAGTCACATCACAGTCACATCACATCACTTCACAGTCACATCACATCATCAGTCAGTCACATCACATCATATCACATCAGTCACATCACATCATCACAGTCACATCATCAGTCATCATCACTTTGTCACAGTCACATCACATTGTCACATCACATCATCACAGTCACATCACAGTCATATCACAGTCACATCATCATCACAGTCACATCACATCATCACAGTCACATCACATCATGTCACAGTCACAGTCACACATCATCACAGTCACATCACATACATGTCATCACATCACATCATCACTTTGTCATGTCATCAGTCACATCACATGTCACAGTCACATCACAGTCATGTCACAGTCACATCACATCACATCATCACAGTCATCACATCATCACAGTCACATCGCATCATCATCACAGTCACATCACCACATCATCACAGTCATCTTCACAGACACATCACCTTGTCACAGTCACATAATGTCACATCTTGTCAGTCACATCACCTTGTCACAGTCACCATGTTGTCACAGTCACATCATTATGTCAGTCAGTCATCATCTTGTCACAGTCACACATCATGTCACAGTCACAGTCACCTCATTTTGTCACATCATCATGTCAGTCACATCACCTTGTCACAGTCACATCACCTTGTCACAGTCACATCATCACAGTCACATCACCTTGTCACAGTCCACATCATCATGTCAGTCACATCACCTTGTCACAGTGTCACAGTCACATCACCTTGTCATCACATCAGTCACATCATCATCACATCACCTTGTCACAGTCATCATCATGTGTCAGTCACATCACCTTGTCACAGTCACATCATCTTCATTGTACATCACATCAGTCGCAGTCATCACCTTGTCCTCAATGTCATCAGTCACATCATAATGTCTCAGTCACATCACCTTGTCACAGTCATCCTTGTCACAGTCACATCACCATGTCACAGTCATCACCTTGTCAGGGCTAGTCACATCACCTTGTCACAGTCACATCATCATGTCAGTCACATCTTCATACAGTCACATCATCATGTCACAGACACATCACCTTGTCACAGTCACATCATGTCACAGTCACATCACCTTGTCACAGTCACATCATAATGTCCTTGTCAGTCACATCAAATGTCACCAGTCACCACCTCATCATGGTCACATCATAATGTCTCAGTCACATCATGTCAGTCATCATAATGTCAGTCACATGTCACAGTCACATCACCTTGTCACAGTCATCAGTCACACATCATGTCACATCACATAATGTCACAGTCACATCATGTCAGTCACACCACCTTGTCACTGTCACATCACCTTGTCACAGTCACATCACCTTGTTAGTCACATGTCACAGTCACATCATAATGTCACAGTCACATAATGTCACTGTCACATCACCTTGTCACAGTCATATGTTGCTAGAATATTGCTGAAAGTGGCATGAAACTAAACTCACTCACTCACTTCTTCATGTCTTCAGAGTTATGTCATAATCATAGTCATTTCATGATATGCTGCAGCCGACAGTGAACACATGTAGGGGAATATCTGCTGAGAGAGTGATGGAGGCTGCTCCTATCTAGATATGTACAACAGTCTGGATGATCACAACTTTACAGTCAATCAAACAAACTCCATACATTGCCTGGGTTAATATACTACCTATAACAATAGTCACCACTTGTGGGAGCAGTAAACAAGCCAGAACACACACCGACTAAACAACAACAAATCCTGCTAACCCGACTACTAGAAAACCCCACTGCCATGTTGTGTTATGTGACTACAACCCTACATCACTACAACAGTTGTGCTACAGACAGCACCCATCTACTGCGCTATGAGTGACCCTGACCTTGGCTGCTGCCAGTGTGTGCTCCTGTTTGAGGAACTCCAGACTGGCTTCAGTCTTGTGTTTCAGTGTGCGCATCTCTTGTTGGTGACTCTCCTGTACATGCTGGTGTTCCCGGTCCAACTGGTTGTAGCTGGATAGAACAGGAAGGAGTAATGTGAATACAGTGTTAAATGAAGCTATCTCAACATCCTATCAGGCTTAGGAGCTGGCCTTGCTGTGGGTGATGATGAGAAGTCTCCCACAAACAGACAGCTTCCAAAACATTAGAATACTATGTCACATGCTCAAGACATGTGTACCTCTTAAACTGCTGAAAGCAGTTTTTGTGTAGTCCTGATCTTCTAAAATGATTGTGGTAAACAGCAGGGATTTGTCTTGGACTCCAAACTGGTTAAAAATATATTCCAAAACATATCTTCCAAACTTGAACACATACTTATGACTATCATGATGGTATTTCACAACATGTAATATCCTATGGGGTCAAGTACAGCAGTTACTACACCTATAGTACCCCTACCTGTCTCTCACATCCCCGAGTTGTGCAGTCAGCTGGTCACATGTGCCCTGCAGAGTTGTCTTCTCCTCCTCCAGGCCTGACCTCGTCTTCAGCTGCTGCTCCACCTCGAATGTCAGCTGCTGCACTCTGGACTCTAGCTCTCTGATCACGCTGGTCTGCCACCAATAAACAATCTCATCAGTGCTTTTGTCCATAGAAAAATATATCTGCACAACTGTATTAAAGTGGTTGATTCAGAGGCTGGCTGTTAACACAGATCTTTTTCACATTATCATGGAAAGATAAAGCATCAAGGTTAGAATGATTCCTTTGGATCCAAGACTTTACTCGACCTTATTAACGAACCATATCACCATATTTATCTCCAAATGTTACTTTCTAGGAACATGGACAAACTCTTACATTTCTTGTTGAAACCACAATACCTTTGAGCAATCACTATGAGGTATACTTCTGCTAGGTGTTGAGTGTTCAGTACCTGCGCAGATCCGGGTTAGAATTGGTCTTCAGTAACCATGCTTGTCATAAGAGGTGACTAACGGGATCGGGTGGTCAGGCTTGCTGACTTGGTTGACACATGTCATCCTATCACAATTGTGTTCACATGGTATCACAAATGCTGTTCATCACTGGATTTTCTGGTCCAGACTCGATTATTTACAGACCGCCGCCAAATAGCTGAAATATTGCTGAGTGCGGCATTAAACAGCAACCAAACCAAAACTGAGTGTTCGATTCAGCAGTGGGACGTACTCACATTGGAAGACATCTGTTGTGTGTACTCCTTCTCCATCCGCTGGAGCCGGGCGTTGGTGTCGTCTAGGATCTCCTGGATGTTCTTAGTGTGCTGCTTCTGCATTTCAAACTTCTCCTGCTCGAAATGGGCGGTAGTGTCATGGAGCTACAACACAGAGACATATCTATCTAGGAACAGGGTCAATATACACCAAACATGCAACAAACGACCAAAGATGGATTTGTGAAGAGTTTCACAGGTAACAAAGTGAAAAATGTTTAGACAGAAATAAAAAAAACAAACCTGATTGGCAACATTGACATGGATCCTTGAAATGGCCTAATTAAGTCGTACCTTTTTGTCATACTCATTCTTGTGAGAGTCACTGGTGTCATCCACCAGCTTCTTCAGATCTGCCAGCTGCCTGTCTTTCATGTCCCGCATCATTGACATCTCCTTCACCAGAGACTGGACTGCAACACATGGCAATAACTATACAGACTAAAACCATTGACATCTCCTTCACCAGAGACTGGACTGCAACACGTGGCAATAACTATACAGACTAAAACCATTGACATCTCCTTCACTAGACAGAGACTGGAAAACCAATAATTGACATCTCCTTCACCAGAGACTGGACTGCAACACGTGGCAATAACTATACAGATTAAAACCATTGATATCTCCTTCACCAGAGACTGGACTGCAACACGTGGCAATAACTATACAGACTAAAACCATTGATATCTCCTTCACCAGAGACTGGACTGCCACATGTGGCAATAACTACTGACATATCCTGCATGGACAACATTTCACAGCCTCCTATAAGGTTAAAGTTTGCAAACTTCCTTTATCAATACTGAACATATGACTGAATAGCTACATATAAGTTACAGGACATCTTACTCTTCCTCTCCAGTTTAGTTATGGTGTCCTCCATGTCCTTGGCTTTGCCTCGGTAATGGCTTTTCACATCTTCAATCTCTGCATTCTTCCTGTCCAAGATCTGACATACACGGAGGACAAACAAATGATACCTCTCTTTCTGTACAGATACATCATTTTACAAAGCTGGATTTGACAAATTGTCACCTTCTGTAGATATACACTACTTGAGAAAGGTAAGTTCCCCCAACGCTCACTTTCTGTACAGATACACTACTTGAGAAAGGTAAGTTGCCCCAATGCTCACTTTCTGTACAGATACACTACTTGAGAAAGGTAAGTTCCCCCAATGCTCACTTTCGGTACAGATACACTACTTGAGAAAGGTAAGTTACCCCAACCCTCACCTTCTGTACAGATACACTACTTGAGAAAGGAAAGTTCCACCAACCCTCAACTTCTGTACAGATACACTACTTGAGAAAGGTAAGTTCCCCCCAACTCTCACTTTTTGTTTTGGTCAGATATACTATTTTACAAAGCGAAGTCCCCCAAACCCTTACCTTCTGTATAGATACACTACTCGACAAAGCTAAGTTCCCCCTGTCTCTCACCTTCTGTACAGCTGCATCATGTCTCTGCTGGAGCTTCAGCTTCTCTTCATGGTACTTGGCCTCCACCATCTTGGTTCTGAGCTCAATCTGAACAGAGGCAACAGGGTAGGATACTGTGAATTAATTCAATATTGGTATATATACATACATGTTCTTACTAAAATTATTATCAAGTCATCACCAAATACTCAAATATGGAAACCCTTTTGAAACACAATGACCAAGAACACTGCACATATTCTACAATTACTTTGCATCTGTGTTGCTCAAAACCAGCACCAGGTGTATGATGGTGGCCTGCATAATTTCTGGACTGGACCAGACAATCCAGTGACTAATACTTTGACTTACGATCCACGCAGTCAGGATCCGGTGCCACCCACCAAGTCACCGAGTCTGACCACCAGATCCACATGGTAGCCTCTGTCAACCAGCAGAGGCTCCTGGTGACTTATCACAACCAGGAATACCACAATTACTTTAGTTTGTGGCTGTTATTCCATGTCTCCTGCCCTATTGAGATGATACAGAGATAAAGGAATATAACTCACCTCCCTTGTCCCTCCTCTTCCTATGCTGCTGTCATCATGGAATGTTGTACCTGGAAAATATAATTCAAATAAACACTAATAATTTTGTCCAATTTATTCATAAAATATTCCTAAACTATGTTTAAATATGTGATTACAAGCACCACCACACTTTCACATAACAGTATCAGGGCAATGTATGGTCAAATACATGAGTTTTGTCACCTGGACCTAGCTGTGATGGTTCTGACTAACAGGACATGAGCACACTTCAAATATTCTCTTGAGAAGATAAGAGGAATCAACAGAAAGCTAAGGATTGGGAAACATGTGTCAAGATAAAAACATTGACACATAATATCAATATGCATAATAGCGATTGCTATTTCATTGAAACTGTGAGGGAGATAAGGGCATGGTGAGGAATAACTGAAACATACAACCCCATGTGACTGACAGGTCAAGGAGGCAGTGTTTACCTTTAGCAAGCGAGCTGGCCAGAGATGTGGTGGAGCTATAGGGCTTACTCCAGTCCATGTCACTGGTCTGAAACACACAGGTACCAACTAAACCACAGAATATCACATTCACAACTAGTCGATACTTATCAGATGTATCATATGATAATGTACACGTGTATGTAGTCATGGTAGCTGGAATGCCAATGTTATTACTTTTGGTAAGGAAGTGAAAAATTACCTACATATGAAAATAAACCAATAAATAATATTGATTTAATCTTTACTGTAGATGACACAACTGACCCAGCAGGTTCAAAGGACATGAGTGGAAACAAAGACAGATATGTGTATATAACAAAGTTCACAATAAACAGTGTAACTGAGCTCGAGATTTAGATCACCAAGTTTCATATCATGTACGGTTAGTCAGTTCGTTTGTCAAGCAGTTTCGGCAGTCACCTTAGGCTGGGCGACTCATATCAATTTCATGATGCATGTTTAGGTGTTGGTTGACACTCAAATTTGGTGGTGCCTTCATTTCATAACTTACAGTATGTACTGGAGCTACAGTTACACATGAAGCTGTTAGCATTGCAAGACTATTCTGTGAACAGGACACAAGATGAAGATCCTTGATGTAATGTGCCAGCACCGATTACTAAACCTGACTGTGCTGAGGTCACACCCTACCACTGGACTACCTGTACTCCCCCCCCAGACTAGATTCCCTGTATTTACCAGCAGGGATCCAACTGCCCCTGTCTCGGTCCTGCGTCTCGGTGGGGACAGACTGGGATCCTTGTCCAGACTCACCCCCAGGCTGGAGTAGGGTCTGGAAGGGTAAACAGACTCTCACTTCACTATCAACACATACATGTACCACAGTCATTGAGGATTTGTAATTCTTCAGATACATGCAAAACAAAAAGGATACTGTAACCAATAGTTCTAGCAACAGAGGTATGTTCACATATACATGAACACAGTGCCACAGTGCTGTAGTTCACCTGGATATGTAGTCAGCAGTTAGTATATTAACCAAGAGAGCAAGTCCACATAGCACATGTTTTCTGCATATATAATGTGGACATATTAACTAACATATAACAATACTGGTTCAATTACTGACTGCCATGGCAAACCTCTTTTATGTATTCAGGTGTTGAAGTCTCAGTTTCATTGGCAATTACTGCTGTTATATGTTTACAGACAACTGACATAGATGTTGGACAACATGACCTACACTCACTGGACATGTAGTCAGGTGAGCCAAAATATATCATGGTAATAGGCCAAAATGATATAAAGACATTCTTTAGAATGGATCAAACCTAAGAGGGCAAATTTTGAAACGCCACTGTCGCAGCCTTCCATACTAAATTTATTGTCATCACAAAAGCTCACATTGAGGTTACAGTTCAAGTGATCTACATGTAATCACTGAATTTGTCATCAACTTAAAGTCTTTACATCATGCATAGATTCTCATGTCAAGCTTTAAGGATCGTTTTATGCTGTGTCAACTGGTTATTCCAGTACTTGCAAGTCTTCAGACTATATCCTATGAATTACTTAGCCAGACTTTATACTCCATTTACTGGCAAAAGAATTTCAGATTGAAAGTGTGTTCCATTTTACTGAGAGCATGAGATAATCCTTGATTATTGAAAGCAAGGATCTTCCATTCTATTATACCAAGGACTCATTCCCCTCCTTCCATGTGGAGAGCATGAGATAATCCTTGATTATTGCATCAAGGATTGAGATAATCCTTGATTATTGAAAGCATTGGATCTTCCATTCTATTATACCAAGGACTCATTCCCCTCCTTCCATGTGAGAGCATGAGATAATCCTTGATTATTGAAAGCATTGGATCTTCCATTCTATTATATCAAGGACTCATTCCCCTCCTTCCATGTGAGAGCATGAGATAATCCTTGATTATTGAAAGCATTGGATCTTCCATTCTATTATATCAAGGACTCATTCCCCTCCTTCCATGTGAGAGCATGAGATAATCCTTGATTATTGAAAGCATTGGATCTTCCATTCTATTATACCAAGGACTCATTCCATTCCCCTCCCTTCCACAGCATGAGATAATCCTGATTATTGAAAGCATAATCTGTCAGCATTGGATATCACCATCTGAGTATACCAAGGACTCATTCCCTCCACAGCTTACTTAGCAGAAGGAATATCACCCTCTGAGTAACTGAGGGATTATTTCTTACTCAAAATAGAATTTTTCTCACTCATGAGGGATCAACGACCAGTCAAAATACTCCTTCTGAAAGTTCAGACCAGATCTACTTTAAAAAAAACCTATAGCTTCTACAACCAACTGAAACAGAAACCTGTAGTAAATAAACTTTCAGCTGGAAAAGCTGTTTTCCTGTGCAGTAAAACTGGGGAATCAAGTTCTTAAGCTACAAGACTTTTGCAGTTGCATTAGATATGACACCAGCAAAGATATTACTGGTAACATACATGCTGGTTTCAGTCATGGTACAGTTTTGATTCAACAACTATTTTTAGCATAGTGTTATTCAATCCAGACTGTTTATAAAGCTGTTGTGGGGAACTGATGAAAGGTAATTTCTGAGAATGGAGATCAATATTGAATTACTTACAAAAGATAACTGAGATTAGTTAGAGTATATACCCATGATAACACCTCTCTGTGATTAATGGTTGTGTCTGGGGCACTTGACCATGTAGTTATTAACATCTGCATTTATCAGTGTTACTGTGGATTATTACACATACTGACAGATAAACTGGGATCTGTCTACACAGTAGCCTAACTAGTACAGCAGACATTGTAACCATCTGATTCCCCTTTCAGCTCTTACATTAGATTGTCAGATTGTATTACTTAATAATATAGCTGATCAAAAGCTGAATTAGATGTTAAGAATTTATATGTAAATGTATATTATTGTATGAGCATATTTTAGTAGTTGAGGCTGAGTAGTCCATCTCATGCATGCATCATGCCATGCTGATACCAGAACACGCCTGCCTTGGCACACGATGTGGGGAGTAGAAAACAGCATTGAACCTCTCTCGAACGTCACGTGCCACAGTTGAACTGCCCGACAGCCAGGTGGATGTGGCTGCAGGGTTGCCTAGTGACCGGCGCGCCAAGGAGGACCCCATAGATTCCAGCAGCTCTCCGTTCACCCAGTCTGGCACCTTGTCAACCTGGTAACCATGGAGATATTCATCTTTAGGACATCATAAGGGACATGATGATTCTCGGTCTGACAGAGTTAGAACAGGAATGTCATGCAAAACCAGATCATTTCATATTGTAGAGTATATATTACTCTGAAGAGAGGCATTCTTTGGGAGGTATTTTAGAAGTTGTAACGATTGCTTGATAACAGTGTTAGTACCTACGACGAAACATCGCAATAATGAAGTTAACTATCCATAGAGCTTGGTTTTCCTACTCAGAAGAAGTGAATACGCATGACAGAACGGGGTGTTAACACAACAGGCCCCGATTTCTCGAAACAAACTTAAGATTTTACTCAAATTTCAAACTGAGTTTGACAATTTGAAACAGCTGAATTTTTAACTCAACTGCATTTTTTAAATATATAAAGCCCAAACAACTTAAGTAATCTATCCACCAAACTCAAATTGTCTACTAAGTTTGAGTTTAATATTGATTTCAGTTTATTCTGGGAAATGCATTTTCCTGCGTTTTCTCAAATTTGAGTAAAAACTCAGACTTAAGTCAAAACTCAGACTTAAGTTTGTTTCGAGAAATCGGGGCCAGATTAACTATAGAAATATGAAACAATCAGGGGTGTGTTAACTTCTTCCTTGTAGTATATATCCTGTAGTGTTATTCATGGTACAAAGAAGTTCCTTTACCATCAAGATATTACATTTCTATAACAGTATACTGATGTTTATAACAATGATAATCACCACTAGCAGCTACACACATTGATACGGTAACCTACAATACTTCCATTTGCCCAAATAGAGACTGTCAATTCTGGCATGCAATTATCAAGTCAAATCTTGTTAACTGTATGGCAACCAACGAACTGAAATCATGTCTGAAGGTGACACCTCAAGTGTCTCGCACAAAAGCAGATGAACGATTACTGCAAAGGTATTATTCCATCATGCCCAAATGTCTACCCAAAGAACATGAACAGAAAATGTAAGTTACCTCCCCTGCTAGTCCATCTGTGCCTGTCATTGGCTCATCGAAATAGATGGACTGAAATTTTGAATAAGGAAACCTGCAGTTCAGAGCATAACATTTTTTAGACATATCCTTAAATTGTCCACATAATATGCATATATTCATCACAATGACAGAATGAACCATTGGAATATGAACAAACAAGATCTGGTACACTGTAGTTCTGATGTTTGTACCCCAGGCATGTATGGTTACTCTTCAGGGTATAACAAGCTTATTACCATATATGGAGGTAGAGTAGGAAGTGAGCCATCAGAAGGACGTTTGTCAAATGGTCCCTCCAGTACGCCTCTTCTGAGCATGTGCAGCATCAGCTGGCCATACATGTTCCGGTTCTTCCTGGAACAAACAGCATTCTGGGATTGATGGATAGTCAGATGACAACAAGCAACATTCCTTATGACAAGTTGCAGTTACCTGAATGAATGGTTATAGTTTTACAACACCTCAGTAATCTTCCAACATCACACAGAGGACACCAGAGATGGGCTTCACACATTATACCCCTGTGGGGACTAGATTCCAGCCTCGGCGTGATAAGCAAATGCTTTAGCCACTAGGCTACCCAACCTCCAGTACAACTGACTGAAGGATAGTATTTATCAGCTTGATCAGTATGTGAAATATCTAAAATATGTGTATTGTCAGAATGATCAGTAGCTCTTCAAAAGTAGCATGTCAATATCCAGTAAAAAATGTTTATGATTATGTCACGTAAAAGATGTGATAAAAGTGGTGAGTGTGAAATTCAATTATAACCAAGATATGTTTAATAATTAAATCAATAGTTAGGTAGCAAAAGTTACACAATGAGTCAGGCAGGAGAGGAAACTTGAATATTAACTACTTTGGAACAAGTGGTATGAGTATTCTGTACAGGTAAGTGTTGGACATCACTGCTCACCTTCCTGTCACACCTGTAGCAGGTGGCTCACACAGCTTCTTGATCCACACAGCACACCTCTGGCGATCTGTCAATCAACATGATGCCAGCATGATAACCAGTCTCTTGATCTTGGCTGCATAAAGGTAAGTAATCCCCTGGCTCAACCGTAACAAATCACCCCTACTGTGCCCCTGATTCCACCAGTAATCTGGGATAGACTGTGCTCAGTCTGTCTACCATGACACAAGTCAGCCATGACACAGCAAGTGGACTGCATTCAGTCTGTCTAACACGGGAGGAAGACTGCATTCAGTCTGTCTAACACTGGGAGTAGACAGCATTCAATCTGTCTAACACTGGGGGTAGACAGCATTCAATCTGTCTAACACTGGGGGTAGACAGGGTTCTTAACACTAGGGGTAGACAGCATTCAGTCTGTCTAACACTGGGAGTAGACAGCATTCATCTGTCTAACACTGAGGGTAGACAGCATTCAATCTGTCTAACACTGGGGGTAGACAGCATTCAATCTGTCTAACACTGGGGGTAGACAGCATTCAATCTGTGACTTATATTCATGTCATCATTTTCAAATATCTACATGCTAATGTCTATTCTGAAATAGTCCTAAACTTATTTCCAAATCAACTGAAAATATTGATATTTGGTTAAACTGCAACACATTTTTGAACATTCAAATCAATAAACCTTCTTCCTCTATCAACCTGACCATGGTAGTAAACAAAGTCTGCAATATCTCTGTCATGAGTGAGTGAGTGAGTATGATTTTACCCCACTTTTAGCAATATTCCAGCTTCACACATTGTGCTCATGTGGGGAATCGAACCTGGGCCTTCAGCACGAAATTCATGCCTATATGGTTCACCCTCTCTAATTTGATAGCCATGACTGAACAACTGAAGATACAGTATCCAGATGAAATGACCACATACTTTCCCCTATGTTATTTATTCTTTAAAATTACATTAATGCAAACGTAATGAATGTTTGTTAATATTTATGTCTTAATGTATGTGATTTTACAACATCATTGACACAAGAGGGATGCCTGATTTGAATTCCACCATAGAGTTATGGAAACTGAAAAGCCACCTAAATAAGAGGTAATCCTAAATCTTGCCTTGCATAGAATTGACCCAATATCAAACATGCACTACATCTTGTGAACATGTACAGGGTTTGATAATCATGATAATGTTTCTCACACTTTCCCAATATGGTCCTAAAATCACGAATAGGCATTACATGTTACTTTAAAGCACAAAAGTGTATAATTTTACCTCAAAAGCTTAGACAAGTCATTACGTGACAAGACAAGGGTTTGATAATTTCTCACACTTTCCCTGTTTGTTGGACGCAGCATGAAGCACAATGCGACAGTGTTGACCCTCTTTGAAACAATTTGGCTGTGGGCTATTTTTTCATATTAAAGGCTTATTGTATGACATAAATCTGTGTTACGAAGCCCTGGCTTACAATGCTGTGTCCCTGTGGCTAGTGAAGTGAGACAGTGCTAGGACAATGGCTGACAGATCAGAAACCAAACACACAATCATGAGCCGGAGATCGGGCCATCAACATGATATACATCAAACATACTGAAAATAATAGCTCAGCATTGCTTAGTGAGAGATTCATTAACACTTCAAGCTGTAAACGGCTTTAGATCCTTATCATTTGTCTACATGTATCCGATTATCATGGCATGAGGTCAAATAGATACATTTGTTTTCTTGAGGTAACAGTAATGCAGGTATTAAGACCATGAGCCAGGAATTCCCGTCAGTCTTTAGATTGTTAATATTGATATACCAAAAGATTGGTTGGTTGGTTGGATGTTTAATGCCGCACTCAGCAGTATTCCAGCTATATGGCGGCAGTCTGTAAATAATCAAGTCTGGACCAGGCAATCCAGTGATCAACATCATGAGCATCATTCTATGCAATTTGGATATAATGACATGTGTCAACCAAGTCAGCGAGCCTGACCACCCAATCCAGTTAGTCACCTCTTATGATAAACATGGCTTACTGAAGACAATTCTAATCCGGACCTTCACGGGTAATATATAGGGTTTATGTAAGGGTTTATAGTTTATATCAATTCCATTTGAACCTGGTATATCTCGCTAATACTTTGGTAATTAAAACAATAACAGGACAGGTTCTTGAGATGTTGACAGACTTGAGTTTTGTGCATTAACACAAAACGATGACAAGAACCACATGAAAATGGTTACCCTTACAACATTTGAACAAAGGCAATTTGCAGACTTTCATTGTTAATGTTCAGCAAAACAAAAAAGCTCTCACCTGCTTTGTGTGGCAGTTTGAGGACATACGGTTTCATGTCCGCCAGCACTTTATCAAACTCTGAGTCCAGCTGCTCCAAAGAGGACTCTGGACTCTCCATCCTCTCTGCTCCAGGTGCTGTCTCCACCAGCTCAGATGAAACCTCAGACCCTTCCTCGGGCAGATCCTCTTCCTCTTCCTGTTCCGGATGCTGGCAGTCTCTGAACAAACAAACAAACAGCTGCTGAAAGTCAACCAGGATGTCCTGTAGTGTCTGAACATCAACCAGTTGATCACCACTTCCTGCTTCACTGTCTGCTGGTACCTTCTCCATGCTAGACTTGCTATCAGTCTCATAACTGTTTTCAACAGCTATCTCACATTGCCCAGAATCATAATTCACATTATAGAGGTGTCTGTCACTTCTGGGTACAGTAGGCTCAGCTGACCTCTTCACTCTGAGGCCTTTATGTTTGTAGGAGTTTGCTCTGTCCAGATGGTCATCACTTCTACCACCAGTAGGCTCAGAAGACCTGTTAACTCTGTGGCTATTTTGTTTATAAGAGTTTGCTCCAGAAAGTTGTTTATCCCTTCTATGCACATAAGGCTTAACTCTGTATCTATGGTCTTTTTCTAATGTCTCTGGAATGTCATGTAGAGGGGAAGTATTTGGATACATGGTTTCATGTTCATGGAAAGATTCATGTTTTGCTCTATTATTAGGTGATTGATTATAAAGTCTTGACGACCCTGGACTATCTAAGTTTTGTGTGACTCCTGAAACCTGTGAAGAATCTGAACCTTCCACTAGACACCTGGGACACTGACATGACCTCAACTCTGACCATGAAGAGTGAACATTGCCAGACTTCACCCTACAAACTTGTGTAGCTGCACACTGTCTCACTACTTTGTGATTTAGCCTACGGTGATTTGCACTAACAGACAAAGGTCCATCTTGTTCCATACTTCCTGACATGTTAGAATTTATGTTACTGTGGCCAGATTTGTGGGGTTTTGATACCCTAGCTGAAAAGTTTTTAAGGAGGAAGACCGTTTCCACTTGTGGTCATGTTTACATCCACAATCTCTAGTATTGTCTACACTTTGGTCAGATTCTTCATTGAATCTGAAGCATTTTGAAGATTTCTTCTTGGCCATATAGTCACAGCAAGGATAACTTGATGAAACATTTAGATCTCTGTAGATTGTAGACCTTGATCCATGTTCTGTCATGAATCTACTTTGTTGATCCTCCTTTTCTAATTGTAATGACTGGTCATCTTCCCACAGTTTGCCTATCTCCAGGACTAAAGCACTTCTTAAACTCCACAGGTCTTGTATGTCTTGGCATGTAGACCTCAGGATATTGTTTCTGACCCATAGTGGCCTTTCTACATTTTATACCACTAGGTTTAGAGCTCGGTCTCTTTCCATGAAGCTTGGTACTTTGTTGCTGTGTTCTCTTGGAGCTTACACATCGTCGACAGGTACAATGATAGATCTCTTCACTTTGGGAGCTTCTGCTTTCAGTATCCTCCATCCGAACTTGACCATTACAGTACATCTCCTTGCTCCTCGATATATTCTCAAGACAGTCTCTGCTATTCATCAATCCTTCACTTTCGATGTCAGAGCAATTACTGTGAAAGTGTTTGTCTGAGGAGGAGTATTCTTCATGACCATAATACCCCTCCTTTGTTCCATGCTTGACTTCGTTAGCATCCCTGCTCGGTGATGCTGTCATAAACCTGCTCCCTGTTGCTGACTGACTGGTTGTGTCTGTATGTTTCTGGCACTGTCTGGAGTTCCCTCTCCTACTGAACTGAGAGCTATCAGTGCTCCAACAGGTGTCATCGGTAAGCCTGCCTGTCCCACTTGAAACATGTCTCGTTTCACTATGATCTGTGTGATTTCCAATAGCAGCTTTGTTTCTGGAACTGGTTCCAGTATCTGTATGTTCAATCCTGTCTGCCAGAGATGCATTGACACTGCTATCCACTGATAACACTGAAGAAACGGTTGCCCCAGAATCATCAATCGGTGAAGTTTGGTTAGCCACTGGAGTATCTGAAAACACATTTGGACTCTGCAACATCTGCTCACCATCATCTAGTGGATCACCAGCAAGTGAAGACTTACTTCTGTTAAAGGAACATGACATTTTAGAAACATCCACACTGTTGAGCAGTTTCCATCTGTCAGGCTGACCTTCTTCCTTCAACATCTGTTCTGTGGAATTTGAGTCATAACCATGCTTTCCCATACTGGTGTCACTGTGGCAATCCCCTGTAGTTACCTCTTTATATCTTGACATCTGTGGGTAATGACTGTGATCTTCCCCACTGCTGTAACTCGGATGATTTTTCGGTTCTTCCTTATGTCTTGAGATCTTCATCAACTGTTCCTGTTCTGAGATCAGTGAGTCATGAACATTTTCTTCCCCACCGCTATTGCTCTGACAATCCCCTTTGGTCACCTGTTTACAGCTTATGATCTGTGATTCATGACTTTCATCTTCCCCACTGATGCTCCTGTGGTGTTCCTTCAGCTCTTCTTTACATCTTGTGATCTGTCTCAACTTCCCCTATGTCCCAAGGTATGAGAGTCATGACAATTTTCTTTCCCATTGAAGTCACTCTGACAATTCCCCAAGTCACCTGTTCCTGTCCTGAAATCTGCCTCAACTCCAGTTCCTTTTCTGACATCAGTGATCCACTGCCATTTTCTTCCAAGCTACTGTCACTCTGATGTTTTATATGTTCTTTCTTATGGCTTGAAATTTGCCTCAAGTCTTGTTCCTGTCCCGAGTCAGAACCATTTCCTTCCCCACTGTTGTCACATCTCACATGGAGGTGATCACCATCTCCTGCTGGAAGCATTGCCCGGATACATCTGTCAGCACTGGCCTTACTGTCAACACTAGAATATTCACCAGGCACTGATACTTTGTCTGTTCCACTGCCTTGTGTCACATGAGACAATTCTTTGCTTGTAGATCCACTTTCTGCAATTAAGTCACCGCATCTGACAATTACACCATCAGTCTTTTGTTCATGTTCCATGATAGGATGCACCTCCTTTACTGAACGACTTTCTTTCATTTCATCTTGTTCATCCTCACTGCTCTCCTCCAACATATCAAGGTTGCCAACATCATCACTCCTCATGACACCCTTTGCAGGGTGAATTCCACCAGAAACATTCCTTGTATGGTGTCCATCTGCTGTTACTTCATCCTCTGAACTCCCTGTAGTGTAACCGTTCTGTGGAGCACTGTACCATTCACCTTTGTCATTCTTGTACTCCTGATCTATACCATTGTGTTTTTCTATATTTGAAATACTAACATCATACTTTTGTGCATCATCTGTTTTTGTTGCTGCCAAAACACAAGGAGACATTTTCTTTAATGTGTTTCCTTGGAATCTTGCTAGGAATCAAACCCCTTTGTGGCATTTTATCTTTTTTATCATTAATATGATTTACGTGCGTCTCTGTTATGTTGCTCTTGCCCCTGTATTTGATGGAGTGACTTCTGCTTCAAGATGAGCGTCTCCACCATCCTGATCATGTTCTTGTGCTTGTCCTCAGCATCCTTTGACCTTGACATTAACAGCAAGGACAGAAGTCCCTCAAGGTCAGTCAGATTCAAACATTGTTTGCTATCGCCCTTGGAAGAATTGATGAAATCTTTCTGGAGTAAAAAGAGAATTTGTCTTGAAACACCCTTTTCCTCCATGTTAGATCCTGATGAGTTATCGTTACTCTTGTCTGATTTGGCAATGTTTTTGTCTGCTGATTCATTTGAGTTACTGTGCTCTGTTGTTGGGCTTGGAGTGGTATTTTCATCTTTCTGTTCTTCTGACAGTTCTTCTGATGGCTCTTTTCTATGGGCTGTAGACTTAACCTTACTCTCTTCATTCAGCATCTGTTTGGACAGGAGTGTGTTTGCTTGTCTTTTCTCATAATTTATCAAATCTTTGTCCACATTGACTTGGTTATATTTCTTCCTAGTATCACGATGGCCATTGTCACTCAAGTCTGTCTCTCTTAGCGCTTCATCTAGACAGTCGTCATCAGATAAAACAAATCTTACAGATTTGGTCCTATCTCCAGACTTTATCCTCTGAGAAGAATCGGCTGCAAGTGATTTTTCTCTGAGTACTGCAATGTCTGAAGAGCTTGCTTGTCTCCGAGCTGCACCTTTTCCTCTTGTTGCAGCATTAGCCTTGACTCGATTGTTCCTTTCTTGAAGGTCTTTGGCCAGTTTGGCCAGGTCCCGGTGACTTCTGGACCAGATGGACATCACTCAGCAGTACAGCCTCATCGACAGACATGCAACAACTACAACATCCCAGAGGAGTTTCCAGAACACACTAATTCCATTCTGTTGAAGACTTATCTCTATGACAGGACCCCAAGATTCTTTTCTTTATCAGGTTCTAATCTGTCATTTGGAAGCATACTTACTTCCATGGTGTAAACAACACCTCTGTTGTCTTCTTTTTGGAACATGTTGAAAATTCCTAAGTCCTGGTATTACGGGGTCTCACTCTTGAATACTTGCGAAAAGACTCAAAGTGTTCTGAATGCATCCTCTTGAAAGGTTTACACAAGGTTTCACCAATGAACCTTTGAATGCATTATCATAATTTGAAATCCTGAAGTGAGGAACTTGAAATCAGTGCACCTTCAAGCAACAGTTTCCTACAGCTGATGGTATGTGGAGCCTACCATACATGTACAGCAAGTACTACACCAGCACTGTACACTTGATAACTGGTCAGAAATAAAGGAGTCAGTGTCTGTGTCCCTCCTAGCAGGCCGCAGAGTAAACTATGTATGGTGTGAGATAAGCCGGGGTAACTCAAGTAGCTCCGGGATTAATAGACCCATCAGACTGTGTGGCCAGCAGTAATCCTGTTACTCAGGAGAGGTTGTGCCCCATTGAACACAGGATCAACACTGTGGGTTCTGTCAGGGTTTGGTTCAGCCCCAGGTGGGATCATATATGACATGACAGGGCCAATGTTCCATGCCGTGAACATCACACATCCATCTCAAAGGTCATTTGCAGTCATTTCAGCAAACTAGGAGTGACAATAACTGCGAGAACTGATATTGCTGATAGCCAAATTATCCAGAGAGGTGGACCAACAGGTATTTATTGCCTGACAAAAGTGGTCAGACAAGCGGCTTAGTATATTTATCGGATGTT